TTAAAAATAAGTTGACAGTTTGCAAACTTGGTTGATTTAAGCATACTGGCTTTAACTCAATACAATTTTTCCTAAATATGAAATGAAAATTTTGCACAAATTTAAACATTTTTTAAATTAAAGTATAACAAGCATTTTTTTTAAGTACCTGCAAGAAGAATTCTGAGCACATCAGAATTAATTTTTTGGTAACTGACAAGGTACTGAATATTAAATATTTTAAAAGCTGTCAGATTAATTTTTCATAAATAAATTAATATTATGAGCCTTTCTTCTTATTCCCAGGTTTCTTTCTTTCTCCTGTTGATCTGATACATGGTAGCAGTCACAGTTAGTGTTTGACAGAAGTGATGATAGAGGGTTGTAAGTAGGGCTGATTCCTACCAACAGCACAAAGTCCATGATAGAATGAGATTAATAGCACCGACCTCTTGTGTTTATGTACAGTCTGGAGTAGGATGAGGTTAATAAAAGTGTTTAAAAGAACTGGATTGGGAACAGGAAGTGGAGTGGGCTAAGAAATTGAATGTTCCAGATCATAATAGTACACATCATCGGAAGATCCAAATAAGTAAGATGCCAAATAAATTTCTCAATGGAATCATACTGATTGCTGTGTTACAATGTAGAAATCATTGGAAATCCTTAGTTGGAACTAATATATTTACTGTGGTTTTTCATATAGATTTCTATTACTTTTTAAAAAATATAATGGTAAAATATACATAAAATATAATTTACTATTTTAATCATTTTGAAGTATACAATTTTAATGGCATTCACATTATTGTGCAACCATCAACACTTGTCCATCTCCAGAACCTTTTCATCATCCCAAACTGAAACTCTGTACCCATTAAACAACTCCTCATTATCTCCTCCCCTTAACCGCTGGGAACCACTCTTCTACTTTCTTCCTGTCTATGAATTTGCCTATTCAAGATACATCATATAAGTAGAATCATACAGTGTTTTGTTTTTTTGTGTCTGACTTATTTTACTGCATACAGTGTCGTAAAGGTTCCCATTACTTTTAAAAATAGATTATTGAACTGTTTCAGTTAAGTGCTGTCATAATCTGGAAATATTAGAATATTTTATGATTTCTCTCATGGCTCCCATTCTCGTCTTTGTACACTGTCTTTAGGTGACCTCATCCACTCCTATGCTTTCAGCATGTGTGTATGCTGACTGTCAGCTCCTAAATCTGTATCTCTTAATCTGGATCACTAGATTCATATTCAGATGCCTGCTTAGCTTATGAATAGAGATGTCTAATAGGAGTGTCAGATGTAATATAACCAAACCAGAATTCTTCATTTTCTTCTCCCAAAATCTGCTTCTATTCCAACTTCCCTCACTTTAGCCTGAAAATAACTGAAAGCTAAAAATTCAGCAATTATCCTTGATTCTTTTCTCTCCTTTACCTTTCTGTACTCCCCTCCTCTGCTAGTGTAGCTTGCCAATTATTTTGCTATATAAATAACTTTGAAAAGCTCACAATTAATGATAGCCATTTATATACTTGTTGTGAGTCCTGTTATTGTTCTTTCACATATCATATTTCATATTTTTAATAGTTGCTCTGCTGGAGATTTAAAAAGCATTCTTTGGATAGATGTTATTAATATTGATCCTCACTAAAAGCTGGGTGGAAGAGTGTATGTGAAAGTAATTTTGCAGCCATGTCTGCTGGCCTTTTGGCTCTCCCTATCTATTTATATAAAAGCCTAAGCGACTGTTGGATCATTCAACCAGTAGCTATGAAGCACACTGACCTCCAGGGGGCAGATGCTCAACGCACAGGCATGAAAACATAGAACAGACTGATGAATCTCAGAGGGAAGTGGGGGAGAAGGGGGAAGGGCAGGGAGAGATTAACCAAAGATCTTACATGCATACTAGAGGCCTGGTGCACGGATTCATGCACCTGCAGGGTCCCTCGGCCTGGCCTGCGGTGATCGGGCCAAAACTGACAGTCTGACATCCCCTGAGGAGTTCCGGATTGTGAATCCGTGCACTGGGCCTCTAGCTTATAATATATCCTAAGGCTGCTCAATTCTTTCCATTTTCCGATTCTGCCACCATTATTTACTGCTTAGGGTACTGTAATAGTCTTCTGTTTCCTTTCTGTTGATTCTGTCATCTGTTCTCCAGCAATAACCAGAATAAAGTTAAAACTTTTTACTTCTAATAAATATAGATTCAAAGCAAGTTGCAAAGGTAGTCCAGAGAGGTCCTTTATACCCTTCTCTCAGTTCTCCCCTTTGGTTACATCTTCCATAACTATAGAACACTAGAGGCCCAGTGCACAAAATTCATGCCCGGGGTGGGGGGGGCGGGTCCCCTCAGCCCAGCCTGCACCCTCTCCAATCTGGGACCCCTTGGGAGATGTCTCACTGCTGGTTTAGGCCCGATCCTTGAGACATCCCTATATTAACATCCCTCTCACAATCCGGGACCACTGGCTTTTAACTGCTCACCTGCCTGATCATCCCTAACTGCCCCCCCTCCCCCCTGCTGGCTTGGTCGCTCCCAACTGCCCCCCCCTCCCGGCCTGGTTGCCCCATGCAGCCTGCTGTTCAGTTGTTTGGTTGTCCCTCACTAACCCCCTGCCAGCCTGGTCACCCCACACAGCCTGCCAGCCTGCTGTTCGGTCGTTACTGTGATAGCGTCCAGGACAATTTGCATATTCCTCTATTGTTAATATAGGTTATCAAACCCAGGAAATTAGCATTGGATTAAAGTCTGAGTAAGTTCTATGCCATTTTATCACATGGGTAGTTTCGTATAACTACCACTATAATCAGGATAAAGAAGCTATTCCGTTGCCAGAGATCCCTTTCATACTACCCCTTTATATTCATTCCTACCTCCTTATCCCTCCTCTGGCCCTGATTCCTCAGAGGGGTTTTAAAACATGAATTAGATATATTACTACCTGCTTCAAAGTTACCATAACTGCTTCTAATATCAGACTAACGCACCAATCACCCATCTTCCCATGACTGGCTCTTTCTTGCATTTATATCTCT